AGGAGCGCCGCGCACCGCCAGCCGCGGGGGGCGTGCGATGGGGGAGGCAGAGGAGGGGGGCGCCCGCACTGACTAGAGCCAACTGCATCCTTCAAAAGGGTGTCGGGGCTGCGCTCCCCTCCCGCGCCCCGGGAACTTCAAAGCGGCCGGCGCTGCCCCGGCTGTTTCGCTCCGCTCTGGGGCCTCGCAGCCCCGGCGCGGCCGCCTGGTGGCCATGACCCGGGCGCTCCGCTCCGCGCTCCGCCAAGCTGTCCTGCTGCTCGCTGCGGCCGCCGAGCTCTCCGCAGGTGCGTCGGGTTTTTTTTCCCCTGCGCCGGCGAGGATGGGGCTGAGGGCGGCCTGCGGGTGGGCACGGGTAGGGGGAAAGAGGGTGCTCCGAGCAAGCTGACCTTCCGCGCGGCGGAGGGGGAAGCGGCAGTCGCATTGAGGGGGCGCGGAATAGGGCGCAGCGTGGGCACGGGACGTCTGCAGCCGTAGCGGTAGACAGGTGTGTTGGGGACGAACCCGCGAGGAGGAGTGAAAAAGCGACAAAGACGGGGTTTGGGTAGTAAGGGTGAGGTGGGTGACGAATTTGGGGACAGTTTGCAGCGATGGGAGTCGGAGAGCATTTGTGGGTGCGCGCTCGGGTGGGAGCTGGGTGGCATCGTGAGTTCACCCGGCAGGTACGGGGAGGGCTGCAGGTGCGCTTCGGGGGCGCTCTGTGCAGAGCCCCGAGAGCTGCTCAAGGAAGGTGGTGGTGGTGGATGGCGATTTAGTCTGAGTTTTAGAAGGCGACGGATAACCTCAAAAGCCGCCAGTGCCAAGCTATGGAGGCGGCAGTGGTAGCTTAAATCTGCGTGGTTTGCAATGCACGTTGCTTTCGAGGTACGATCCTTACTAAGAGTTCCAGGGAAATAAATTCTGGCAAGCGCCCCAGCGTTTATAACAGGTCTGTGACTTGATAGGCTAAATAAAGCCCTCGACCCGAGCTAGAAGCCTTTATAATGTCTAGTCAAAACTGGGACGAATGCATGTTTGGTAAAAATCAGTGTGCTACGACTTAAAACCCCTTAACTCTAAAACTGTTTTCATTACGTTGTCCTGGATTATGTACACAAGGAGCAGATTCCTTGCTAACTCATTCTTTAAATATTTCAATCTGACATTGAAGACATTTGCACATAAAAACCTGGTATTTTTCCATAGAGCTGTACTTTGTCCGAAGCTGATTTTGAAGCATTTTTCTTTTCCCAGATGACAATCTGTTTGACATTAACAGCTATACTTAGAGTTGGTAGTTTTCCTTGTAGTGACACGTGCAAGAGAATGTTTTGAATAGTATAATTGCGGTTGTGTACAGATTTCAGTGTTTCAGATGGCCTTAGACAATCACTAAATACAATATTCAAGTAAAAAATTGATTACTGGATTAAAGCATTCGTTTATTTTTTTAGGAAAGCAGAGTTAGTTTGAGACTGTCAGAAAATGATGGGATGACTGAAATATTAGCCTTAAGAGTTACTAACTTTATCAATGGGAAGAAACCTGATTATAGGAAAGTCTATATAAGAAATGGGTGAAAGCTGGTAACTTGGGATACTTCAACTGCTTTTGACAATTTAATAGAATTTACCAAAAAAAAAAAAAAAAAAAAAAAAAAAAAAAAAGTCTTCCAGATATTACAGTTTTGACTGGGCACCTGTGAAACTGCTTCTGCAGGCTGGCTGTACAACTCTTTTTATTTGGGGGAGCTGATAAATTGGCTGCAGACATTTTATAAAACAGACTTTAAAAAAAAAATCTCACTTGAAAGGTACATTTTGTTGAATAACAGAATCTTTAGAAAATTTCAGAGACCCTGAGCATAGCAACATAAGAGAATATGCCCCATTATGTTTTTGAAAAGGCATGGAAACTTTTGACATTGAAATGTGCAAAAAAGAAGAAAATAGATCATCCATTCAAATTCGATTGTTTTCTTAAAATTAGAAGTTTAAGAAAAATGCGTAATATGGAGATAATGTGTCGATATAATAGGGAAGTCTTATGAAAGTTGAACTTTTACAGCAAACTTCTCTATGTCAAATGCAATCATTTTCAAATTTCTTTAAGAAACTTTTACCCCTCTTTGTGTCCCACATAAAGAGTGTTTATTGTTACCTACATTATTTATTCTTAATTTTTATATAAATCTTTGGTTATTTGGTAGAGGAATTCAAGGTAGTTTTTTTTGGTTTTTTTTGTTGTTGTTGTTGTTTGTTTTCATCTTTTAAATTGGTTTTCTCACATGGCTACCTACCTATTTTTGACTTGGTCATTTTTACAAATTACGTCATTAATCATATTAGCCATTTATGAACACGTACTTGCGATTGTTGTATGTTATATGAGAACTTGTTCTTGACATAGTGACATAGTCAGCAACACTGTATGACAGTAAACACCACTTTCCAATTTGGTTCTGCTGAGCTCCCAGCCTAGGACCTTAAATATCTGAAAACGTGATAAACTGATAACCTCTTTTTGCTTTGGCTGCTCTTCCCTAGCATCTCTGTCACCTTAGGGGTGTCTTGCATTAACAGTGGAGAAGAGACCATTGCTCCTTATTGAGAATCTCAGAGAGTAACAGCTGTTGGAAACCTAAGAAAACTGTTTATTGGTCTGGACTGGATCAAAAAAATTAGGCTGCTCTGAGTTTCTTTGATTCTCTGGGTTCTGGATTCCTTGATGTTTGACAAGAAAGACCTGACATGGCTTTGCAACGTTTGTCACACATACTAAACAAAGAATTGGTAGAAAATGTCCTGGAGTTCTTTATTTTGAAGCTGTGATTTGTGTATTATATAAATTTACACATTGTGCATTCTCTTCTAATTTCATGAAAGTCCTTTGTTGGAAAACGATTATTGAGAGTCTATAAAGGTATATGCCATTACTCTAAAAGTGAAAAGATAACTGTTCACTTTAATAACCGAGGTGGGAGTGAGGGTTTCAGGTTGTGAGATTTGCCACCCCCCAAACAGCAGTTAGGAGCAGTTCCCACTTAAAGTTTCCAGCAGTGCTTCTGGAAGTGAAAGTGAAAGCCTGGGGCTGACTGAGTTTATAAATGCAAAAGATTTTGCCACCTTTGCCCTTCTTTAAGCACAGTCATTTATTAGTTGATTGACACAAATGTGGCAAGACACTCCCTGGTTCCAAAAAAGAGACATCTCTGGCCCAGGAGAAACTCTATGCAGAAGCCCTGCGGACTTATTTCTTCATTGACTGTACTGCCTAAATCTGGTATCTAGCCTCAAACTTACAGAAATATAAAATAGAGTTCCTCTGAATGGCTAAATTCATTAAAAAAAATAAATAAAGGATTTGAGGTGTGAGAGAAAGTGAGGAGCTAAAGGACAACATTAAATTTCTGACCCAAGCAATGGAAGAATGGACCTTTCACTGGGCTGGGGCACGCTGCAGGAGAAGCTGGCCTGGGGAGCAGAAGGGCATGGTGGCAGACAGCAGGAGCTCAGTTTTGAATAGGTTGAGTTAAAATGCCTATTAGACACTGAAGTAGGGATGTCAAGTCAGCAATTAGTTTTATGGGTCTGGAGTCCAGGGGATAGGTCTGGGGTGATGATTAAAAAATTGAGAGCCAAGGGCACTTGCAGATAATTTTTGAAAGGTACATTAAATAGGGTTGCAGATTTAGTGAATAAAACACAGAACATCCAGTTAAATTGAATTTCAGATAAATAATAAGTTTTTAGTACATGGGTCACAAATATGACATGGGACACATGTAATATTAAAAATTAATTTGTTTAATTCTAATATAACTAGGCATTCCATACTTTTATCTGGCAACCCAACTTAAAAGACGAATTGTTGTGAGAGGAACTATTTCCTGATATTTATATTTCTGGCTCTTTTATTACAAAAGTGCAGACTTATTTTCTAGTCCTTCTTTCCTTAGAACTTCGTTATAGCTCTGCTGTTGTCCCCATGTGCATGTCTAAATGGGTCACTCCCAGCTCTTTGCACAGGATGTCCCATGGCTTCTGTGTGGTTACCTGGTCTTTCCCAATCTTACATGAGTGTCTTGAAATGAAAGTATGTGTGAAGAAGATAAGTATAGCTCTCTTGACTCCCTGGAAGTTATTGTTATGTGAAAGCAGTTGGTTTTCCCCAAATTTACTGTCTTTTGAAAGTGATTCCTATTTTCAGATGCATTTTTGGAGTATTTCCTTTTGAATAAACTTTTTTATGCTTCTTCCAGGCAGTAGGCAAGATCCAATGTGTTGTATTTTTATTGGTAGTACTTGCATATCTTATTGTAAATAAAAAAAGTTAGGAGGAGAGGAAACTAGACAGAGTCAGACTAAGGGAGGCTTTTGAGCCCTATAGGACCTGTTAATTTGACACAGTTTGAGGTTTTAGATCATGTTCCTAAGAGAGTGATTGCAAGCCCTTTGGGAAAAGGGCAGGGATACATAAATATCAGCCAGAGGCTATTTAGTTCCTTTTCGAGCTTAGTCTTGACCTGCATTTGTGGCTACCAACTGACTAGTATTATCCTAATTTCAAGATTTGTAGTGAAAAGTGTCCTATAAATGGACATCTGTAGGCATGGGTCATTAAAAAGCTCAAATAGATAACTTCACATGCACATATATATATATGTATATATATATATATAGTTTATTTTATTAAATAATAAAATAAAGAATTAATTTTCAGATATAAACAGTAGACAGAAAAAAGGAAACACTCTAAGCACAGTGTACTGTGCATCATACCTTATTTATGTCTGTGCGCACATATATATATATATATATATGTATATATATATAGTTTATTTTATTAAATAATAAAATAAAGAATTAATTTTCAGATATAAACAGTAAACAGAAAAAAGGAAACACTCTAAGCACAGTGTACTGTGCATCATACCTTATTTATGTCTGTGAGGTTCTGGATTTTCCATTGCTTTGGCCTTCTAGTCTTAACTTTTTCACAGTCAGTAGTCAAAATCTCAAGGTTTATCCTTACATCGTTTTTGAGAAATTAGGATGTGTTTATAAGTGACATAGAAATGAGACTTTTGTTAGAGGGACCCAGGACTTCATGAATACTGTCTCGGCTCAGCTGTGTCTTACCTCCAGTCAAAAGGGGCTATCTGGGAAAAGGAGGTGAAAAAAGGCATAGCAACTTTTTTGTTACCTGGTGATTTGGTCCCAAATCGCATGACAGAAATTAATATTCTTCCCTTTTCTAAACTCTTAACAGCTGAATAGCCTAAGGATATAGAAAGGGCGCTGAGATA